TGCTTGTGAGACTTGCGGTTAGCCAGTGGGGTGAGACCGAAGTCCTCCTAATCTGGCTGGTTCGGTTTGCCTTAGAGGTGGAAAAACCCCAGCCTTGGGCTGTAACTGCCCTGTTTGAGCAATTTGTCCTGAGTTGGCACTCTCCGTTGGGTTCCGCCAGAACCGCATCGTCACACCCCCGCTCCCAGCTGCAGAGATACAGGCCCATCCTCCAGAGCAGGGCTGGTATTAGAGACTGTTCTACAAACACTGCACCCTGCACCCCAAATCTCTCCCTCCCGCTCCCCCCTCCTTCAGCGACCTCACCCAGCGCAGGGGAATCCAGTGCTGGGTTCTGCCATCTTAGTCACAAAGAGGTTCAGGAATGAATCATTACTGGTTAGAGGAGCAGGAACCAGGACTCCTGGGTTCTCTCCCCAGCCCTGGGAGGAGTGAGGGGTCTGGTGGTTACACTGGGATGGAGCAGGGGGGCTGGGAGCCAGGACTCCACTGACTTGCTGTCTAATCTTGAGGGACAAATCACTCCCCTGATACTTGTGCCTCAGTTTCCCCCTCTGGAGATAGTGACCAGTGGCCAGGGGAGCTGAGAGATTCCATTCGCCTTGTTAAGTTTTATTGAGCTCAGAGACCATCAATGTTCCCACAGCCGCCATCGTTAACCGCCTGTCTCCCCCCCCCCCCCCATGCCCCCAGGCGCTCAGGCCTGTCTGACATTTCAGCGTCTGTGACCCAGTGACCCCCTGCCGGCCTGCGGCCCCTCCCCAGGATCAGCTCTGCTCCGCCAGCCTGGGATAGAAACCGGAGTGACCCCGGCCCCAGTGCTGACAAACAGCGGCTGCTGTTACTGTGAGACAGACCCACCCGCTCGGAGCCTGGAGCGCCTCCTGCTGGCTCTCCACAGCCGTGCGCTGGCACTGCCCGGGCCGAGCCCCAGCCACGCACTGACCAGCAATTCCCAGCTCTCCGGGCGGGTCGCAGAGCACCAGCCTGACCGGGAGGCCACGTTCACGTTAAACACGACTGGTTCCGTGGGGCGTTACAGCCACGGCCTGGTTCCAGCAAGAGCGAACGCTGCAGCCCTGGGCTGGGGCACGGGACCAGCGACGGCGTTTCCAGCCAGAGACCGTCACAGACGCCGGTCGGATGTTTCACCTCTTCAATGTATTTTACAAAACACTCTTCTCGCGCTCAGCCAGTCGAACACGCCTGCCCCCCCAGGACTCCCTGCACAGAACCGAAACCCAACGCAGGCGATAAACCAGTGACCCGACATCATACACTAATCACCCGCTGTCAGTATGTTCCATGTCACCCTGTGCCGGGGAGAGGAGGGGACGGACCGTAATGCAGGTGTTGGGCTATTCCCCGGGGCGGGGGGGTTACTCAGCCAGGTCTCTCTGCACCAGTCTGTAGTAGGGCCCCTTGCGCCCCATCAGCTCGGCGTGTGTCCCCTCCTCGGCCACGGCCCCGCCCTCCAGCACCACGATCCTGTCGGCGTTCTCCACCCAGGGCCGGCTCCAGGCACCAGGCACCCAAGCTGGTGCTTGGGGCGGCACCTGGAGGGGGGCGGCGGCGCAGCGCTCCGGCCCCCGGGGAGAGCGGGGCCACAGCAGGGCTCGCCGCCCTCCCCCCAGGGCTCCGGCCGCCCTCCCCCCCGGCGCCCTGCCCCCGGCGCTCTGGCCGCGGGGGGGGGGAAAGAGTCGAGCCCCAGCCGGGGCTCGCTGCCCTGCCCCGCCCCCGGCGCCCTGCCCCCGGCCGCGGGGGGGAGAGCGGAGCCCCCGCCGGGGCTCGCTGCCCTCCCCGCGGGGCGGCGAAAAAGCCAGAGCCGGCCCTGTCTCCACCGTCTGCATGCGGTGGGCGATCACCAGCACCGTCCGGCGCCCCCGGCTCAGCACCGACTGGCGGATCTAGGGGGAGGAGCAGAGCCGCGTTATGGTCCATCCGCACACGACGCAGACCGGAGACACTCAGGCCGGCCGGGTTCGGAGTTCGGATCCCACCGCACCCACCACTCACTGCGCATTCGCTCTCCATATCCAGCGCGCTGGTGGCTTCGTCCAGGATCAGCACGGCCGGCTGGCGGATCAGTGCCCGGGCGATGGCGATCCGCTGCTTCTGCCCCGCCGAGAGCTGCCCGCCCTTCTCCCCCACGTCTGCAGTGGGTCAGAGAGAGAGAGAGAGCGAGGGAGGGAGGGAGGGGTCAGGACTCCTGGGTTCTCTCCCAGCTCTGGGAGGGGAGTGGGGGCTGGGGGGTTAGAGCGGGGGGGCTGGGAGCCAGGACTCCTGGGTTCTCTCCCCGGCTCTGGGAGGGGAGTGGGGGCTGGAGGGTTAGAGCGGGGGGGCTGGGAGCCAGGACTCCTGGGTTCTCTCCCCGGCTGGGAGGCTCTCCCACATGGGGTGATGGGTCCTGCTCTCTGGATCCCGGGGGGGGCTGTGACCCCGTCTAACCCACGTCCTGTCCAGGTCCAGGGGCGCAGCAGAGCTGGGACATCCTGTTCACGGGGTGCAGGGCTCCAAGGGGATCCCTTGGCTATCTCCGGCACCAGATGCAGGAGCTGGTGGGGTACCAGGAGGGGATCCAGCATCATGGGCCGGCTGCTGGCACGCTATCGCCAGACAGGCGGTGAGGGACCCCCGGTGACTCCCAACGGGGTCCCAATCCGGCCTGCCTGGCCCCTGGTGGGGCAGGGGGAAGGGCTGTCTAGGGGTCTGACCCTCAGCACGGGGGCGGGGGTTGCTCCCCAGCTGAGCTCTGTGTACAGAGGGCTCTGCAAGGGGAAGGTGATAGGGGGGGAGGGGCTGATAACAAAACAACACCCCCCCCCCCAGCACAGCCCGTGCAGAACGGGAATGGGAAAGGCCCCGGACGTGTTGTGACGGGAGGGGGCCCTGTCCCCACGGAGACCCCAGTGTGGGACCCCGGCGCTCAGCACAGAGCGGCTACGCCCCCTGCCAGCCCTGAGATCCCCCCGCTCCTCCCGCCCGGGGCGCCGGGCTTATGTGTGACAGTGACGGAGACTTGGGGGTTGGGAGCTCTGTGTGCAGGGGTCTGTGTGTGACAGGGATTTGGGCTCAAACACCCTGAGGCGTCTGTTCCTGAGTCCCCGGCTCTCGCTGGTGTTTGTGTCTCATCTCCCTGCCCAGGCACTGTGGGGCCCTTCCCAGGCAGATGCCCCGTCGGGCTTTGCCCCGGTGTCCTGCCTTGAGATCCCGGCTGTGTTTGCCCTGCCCCCGCTCACGGAGCAAATTCACTCCCCGACCTCACGGAGCGTTTTTCACATACAGTGCTCGGGTTTGTCTTTTACTATTTAATACAGTGGTACCTAAAGGCCCCGACCGAGATCAGGGCCCCATCGTGCCGGGCGCTGCCCAGACCTGCAGTGAGAGACAGGCCCTGCCCCGAACAGCTCACCAAATAAACAGCGCAGACAGTTTAAGGCCCCGTCCCTGGTGTCCCAGACCCCTGTGCTCTGTTCAGCATCGCTCTGAGCTGCAGGATTTTATCTCCGCCCCGCAGCGGGCGTTACGGCATCTCCTGCAGTTCCCGTCTCTGCTCACCCGCCAGCCCGCTCCTGTCCCCATGCGGCCTGGTTCCCCCTCACGCAGCCCAGCCTCTCCCCGCCCAGCCCCCCTCGCCCCAGTGCCGTCCCTACTGATGGGGGGCACAAGGGGGGAATCAGCCCCCAAACCCGCGTCCCAGTCAGAGGTGGGCTCTGGCTCTGCTCCCTGCTGGCGTCCCCCTCTCCTGGATCTCTCCAGCCCCGCTTCGTCAGGGTGGGTGCGCACGGCGCGTCCCCCCACACACACCCCCACTGCCTGGTGAACTCAGGGACCAGACACAGCCACGGCTGGTACCGGTCACACGTGGGGGCGAAGTGGCTCTCACCGCCGGGGAGTCCAGCCAGCTGCAGGGCCTCTCGCTGGACCGGTCCCAGGGGCACTGGGGCACATTACCGTGGGACACCCCATACAGCGACGGTAAATCCCGATGCTGGTTTGGAGCAGCCCCCGGGCGCTGGGGAACCCCCACCGCTCCCCGGCCCGCAGAGAGGGGGGTTCCCGGCTGCAGCTGGTGCCGGTCACTGGTTGGGGTGTAAGGAGAACCAAGCCCTCAGCGAGCTCCCAGCGAGCGGAGAGACGTCGAGAACCTGCTGTCCCGACCGCGGCTGTCACTGTCGGTCTCTCCCGGCACGTTAACTCCGGGTGCTGAGCGGTCCGGGCCCCGGGCCCCGGCTCTGCCGCTCTGAGCCCGTCCCCTGATGCCGAGCGCTGCCGCCCGTGGGCTCCTCCCTTCCCCCAGACAACGTGGGGCCGGGAAAAGCTCTGACCTCCCCCCTGCGTGTCCAGCCCCTGTCCTGGGACCAGCCCCAGCCACGGTGCATCGACTGACGGGAAAACCCTCTTCGCCTTCACAGACCCCCTGAGACACCGCTGCCCCTTCACTGTCTCCTGCCAGCGGGGCAGGGCACTGGCTGTGCCAGGTCAGAGCCAGGGGCCCGTCTACCCCGGTATCCCCCCACCTGCCCTGCTGCCCTGGGTCAGACCCAGGGGCCCATCTGCCCCGGT